GTCAACAGTGTGATGCAGCAGCTAAAAAGGTCAATGCGATTCTAGGCTTCATCAACAGAAGTATAATGTCTAGATCAAGAGAAGTAATAATGCCACTCTATTCTGCTTTGGTTAGGCCTCACCTGGAATACTGTGTCCAGTTCTGGGGACCACAATTTAAAAAAAGGATGTTGACAAGCTGGAGTATGTCCAGAGGAGGATGACCAAAATTGTGAAGTGTCTGGAAACCATGCCCTATGAGGAGAGACTTAGGGAGCTGGGTATGTTTAGCCTGGAGAAGAGATAGTTAAGAGGTGATGTGATAGCCCTATATAAGGTGTCATATTGAGGCTGGAGAAAGCTTATTTTCTGCTGCTCCAGAAAATAGGACCTGGAACTACATGACCAATGCATTTATTTTCCATGCAAACAAAGTGAAGCTCAACATTCTTCAACATAGACTCCAATCATACATCGAGAGAGAAATCCCAGAGGTACAAATGGGGTTCAGGAAAGGAAGAGGCACTAGGGACTGCACCACAAACATACAATGTCTACTGGAGCACATCAAGGAATTCCAAAATAAAATCAGCATGTGTTTTATATACTATAGTCGCCACTCCATTTTCACGGACTTCGGATCCACATCCCATGCTTATGCACGAAGGACAAATGGAGGGGCATACAATAGGGTGTGCCCCTGCAGTGTATGCCCGCACATTCCCATGTCTCCATTCAAGCCTATGGGATTTGAATATGTATGGGTTTCTGTTTTTGTGGAGGTGTCTGGAATGGATTCCCCGTGAAAATGGAGGGTCAACTGGATAGCAAAGCCTTTGACTGCATAAATCATGAAAATGTTGGGGGTGTGCCACAACATTTGACCCTCCTGATGCATAACCTGTACTCAGGTCAAGAGGCCACCATCAGGACAGAATAGAGAGAAATGTAATGGTTTTGAATTGGCAATGGAATCAGGCAAAGCTGAAATTTATCATCCTATCTGCTTTACTTGAAAGCTGAATTTACTATAGAACTCTGAGTCTAATCATATGACAATTAGACTCTGAGGAAGGAGATGTGAAAATTGGAGGAAGGATATGCTGATGACACTATACTACTAGCAGAAGATAGCAAAAATCTGGAACAATTGCTGAAGAAAATCAAGGAAGAAAGTTTAAAGGCAGGTTTGCAGGTTAACATTAAGAAAACAAAAATAATGATCACATATTATTCACCTAATGTTAAAGTAAATTATGAAGACATTAAAATAGTTCAAGATTTTCTCAATACTCAATATACACAAATACAAAATTCCTTTCAAACTAGAACTTTTTTTAATTAGGAATATTTGATTATCAAATAAAATGTCAACATGAAAGATGTTATTATATATGATAACAGCAGCAAGACTCTTTTATGCACAACTGTGAAAAAATGTGGAAATTCCAGGAATGGAAGACTGGACAGCTAAATTATTCAGCTGAAATGGATAAGTGAAATACCA